AATATGTAACAGTAATATAGGATTTTATTGAATACCTGTGGTGTTCGACCGCCACAGAAGCGTGTGTCAGGATCTGTAAAATGAAAGTATTTTAAATGTTTCGGCTGTCCATGTTCAGTAAAGAATTTGTTCTGCCATTTAAATTTTGGTAAGGGTCGTACTGTCGTTGTTTTTTTTTTTAAATACTGCACTATTTTCTTTCTGACAGATATTTTTTATTTATGTCACCTCTACCCCTAAGGGTCATTGGCGTACAAATTCACAACTTTATATCCTGTTGTTGAATTTCGCTATTGTTTAAGTAGTATCTTTTTTTTCCTTTTTGTCCTTATGCAGGATTTATTTTAGTGACTGTTTTGTTTCAATAAACACACTTCTTGAAGTATATTTATTTTATTCATAACGATAACAAATCGGAAAACAAGATTTTTCCAACTCGCAATAAGAACACATGACATGGTATAACCTTCTCTCACAAAGAGGTACTTAATAGTAACACTCTCAACTATTTTTTTTTTTTTCTTAAAAATGTGTAAGTACTACATTCAAGAAGTACGTGGTTTACTGTTTTAGTGAGTCGGCGATGTCTGCATGTTGTGGCTTCTAATATTCACAAAGGTACCCGTGGAAAAATTCCCCATGTCCTATCGGTAGGGGTGAAATGACACCTTTCTGTCTTGAGCTTCTGTTTTAATTTTTAAATCGTATTCACACATTCTTTATTTTAGTTGAATCCATATCTTTCCATTTTTATGTTATATACAGAGTTTTTCAGGGTTAAATGTCCAAACTGCAAAAATGAACTAAGGACCTCAAAACAAGAAAAAAAAATGTCCTCTGAAGTTATGTCCGCAAACCCTTTGTTTAGAGATATTCACACCTAAAGATTTTCGTTGTTGTTGATTATTTACGTTATATAAAATATATAAAACCTATTTATTTGTTCTAACTACTTTATCAATTAAATGTAAACATTTACATTCATATTAAATGTTGTTCAAAGCGATTTCCTTGAGCATAAAGACAGGCTCGGTATCTTTATTTAACAGCAGCATTGACAGAACGACACTGGATATGTGTTATTGTTTCACAAGATTCAATTATCTTTCTTTGTATGGGATTAAGGTTATTGACCGGACTTGAATAGACTTTTTGTTTAATGTCACCCCAAACAAAAAAATCCAATGGTGACAGGTCTGGAGAGAGTGCAGGCCAAGCCAATAGTCCTGCAAGGCCAATCCATTGATTGAGATATTGGATATGATTGAATAAGTCCGGTCAATGACCTTAATTCCTTACGAAGAAGCATGACAAACAAACATAAACAAAGTTGTCGTATTTAGTTTTATAGTTTCCGTGTCTTCGCTTTATAGAATCAAATCATCCGCATAGCCAAGCACGGGTGTTATCCCACCAAGATGTATGTATTACTTCCCTAATGCCATGTTCTAATGCCAAATTAAACAGGACAGGTGAAAGGAAATCACCTTATTTTAAACCCGAACGAACCTCAAACTTTACGGATAAATAATTACCGATTCTAACATTATTGAGCGTTTCCATCAAGCACATCCTAACTAGATTTAATATTTTTTTTATTACTCCGCTCGATTTAAATATTATTCAGATTCTGGTCAATAAAGTCGTAAGCCTTTTTGAAATCGATATATTACTGGTGAACAACGCCGTTGTACTCTAATTTTTCTCCAATATTTGCCGTAAAGAAAATATTTAGTCAATAGTTGAACGGTTCTGTCTAAATCCGCATTGATAATCTCCGATAATTTCCTCGGCGTATTCTGTGATTCGGTTAGCAAGGATTAATGTAAATATTTTATAACATACCGGAAGGAGTGAGATTCCTCTATAGGTATTATAATCCATCCTTGAGTCGTTTTTATGAATCGGAAAAAGAATAGATTCTTTTCATTCTTCCTTCCAGGCAATATCTCATTCTTCTAGAAATTTTTAACCAATAAATATATTTTAGAAACTCCAGTTTCCACGCATGCCTTAATTAGTTCACTAGTAATTTATCGGTTCCCGCTGCTTTATAATACATTAGTTTTCCTTTAGCTACTTCAACATCCTCTTTACTCGGTTCTTCTAATAACGGATCAGCACTCTGGTACATAGAAGGAGGACACAAATATTACTTCCCGTATTTAAAATATTGTAAAAGTTTTTCTTAAACTTATTTAATGTCTACCGGATCGGCCAGATATTATTTTTTTTCATTCCTAATTCCAGGCGTAACGGGTCCTAAACATTTCCTTTATCTGCTTATACCCTTGTAAATGTCTCTTATATTATTTTCGACTCTATTATTTTCTATTTCAATAATTTCATTTTTAATATACTGTTTTTTCTTTTTTTAAACAATTTAGTAGTTTCCTTATTTAACGTTCTGATGTTTTAATCAGTTATTAAACGTTTGTTTTAATTTGTTTAGCTTTAATTTAAGGAAATTATTCAAAATAAGAAGTTTTGCATTCATGACAGAGATTAAAAAAGTTCATGTGCTCATAATCGTAAACTTCTACTCACGTCTTGCGTTTTAGACATCAAGGAACACATTTGATTCCATGTGTGTTTGTAGTCTACTGCATGTGATAGACTTACCAACTACTATTACCATCTTTCATGATAATTTCAAAGATTGTGTGGTTTAGTGTCTAGACGGTTCCGTATAAATTTGTTATCACTTTCCACCCCATGCTTTTGCTATCGCACGCGTAAATCTATTTTCTTTGATACACCTAAATAAAAAACAGATGCCCTATATATGAATATATCTTATTGAATTCCATCCATAGCTTTCCCTACATACGCACAAACGTATTTTCCTTTAATCACCTATATCTCGAAAACCGTAGTTGGATTTGGCCTAAATTTAGAGGGAAGTTAGGAATTGATAAACAAATGACCTAGTAGATAACAGTGTCATCAAATTTTATCCATTACATTTAAAAGAAACACTCACTTTCAGATTAGAACATATTGTTTTTAACATACCTATAGTTTAAAGAATATTATTAAACCCGTTTCAATTTAAATTAATATAAATAAACCTTAAAACAATAAGAAAATAATAAGAGCTGTTAAATTTGGTAGGCATATATGGATATATATAGAACTGAATATATGGAAAGGGGTCACATTCATACCTTTTTGAACTAACTATTGTTGGAAGTTAAGACGTATAACTTTGTATAACTTCACTCATATTCTTATAGGATAGGGCAAGGGTTTTAGGGCGATAAATTGCGAGATTATTCTGTACTTCATATTCTTATATTCCTTCAATTAGTTTACATCTGACAGATGAAAAAAATAGGTTTGGTTAACAATGAACAAATAAAATATTGAATTTTTGTTTCATCTATTTTGGGAGTGAAAACATGCCTATTAAGTACATAAGCATGTTCAATGTATACATACATACAGTAATAGGAACTGTTTTATTTCGTGACTGTTATTTAATCACGAATAGTAAAATACGAAACTTACAATTGCCGCATTTATCTGATATGACTTGCTTGAAAGGACAATAAGCACCTGTCCATGAGCAGATATCAAGATTATAGCAGGTGACTTTCATGCTAAAGTCGGAAGAGAAGAAGAAGCAACGATAATGGACATCGGCCTATCAATTTCTGTGAATCACAGAACATCATTGTTGGGGAAATGGGAAAACCTAGAAAATGCCGAAACCGTGATAATGGCGAAATCACAAAAAAAGCTAAAATTATAAAAAAATATAAACTACTGAATTTATTATTATTGTTTTAAACGCTCTTAAATTGTTTCTTTTCAATTTTTCCTGTTAACACAGGTCAACAAATTATAGGAATTAAAAAAAAAATTAGATTAAATTATATAAATATTGAAAATTGCGAAAATAGTGAAACTCCTAAATGCAATATCTTTAAACAAAACATTATTAAGTATACCAAAACTAATGGACCGTGTCTTTGTTAATAATTGTCCGATTTTTAGCATTTTTTGTTTGTTTTGTAGGTAATTTAGTAATCTTTCTAATTATCATGGGAAAAATGCATACTTTTTGAATTATTCATAAATAAAGTTTCTTTTCCTCCATAACATTTTTACCAGAAATTTCGGAGAGATGGGACTATTTTTCGCATGTGAAGGAGAAGAATATCTTCAAAATGAGTGGTCAACCATTGGATTTGATGAATAATTGACGAAGTTATGGTTTACCGACAAAAAAACAACTTTTAGAAATAATATATAGGATTATACTGAAAAGTAATATATCTACAATAAATAAGAATAAAATAACCTAAAAATAAATAAATAAAAAGAACACATACATACCTATATACAAAAGAAACATAATATAAAAAAAAACTCTATAGTTTTATGTTTGAAGAAAAATACATAACACTACTGTTCATTGTATGAAGCTATTCGAATGACCAAGGATAATATAATGAAATTTCACCTAGGATATGCCACACTTTTTTTTTTATAATGTATTTATTGCATAATAATACAATCACCCACTGCTAGAGGGCTATAAGTATTACGGCTTATAGTTCTCATTTATACAATACCTACAAATAATAGAGAAATAAATGTAAATATAAACAATAAATAAATAATACAGATAAAGAAAGTAAATAAAAAAATAAACAAATAAAATAAAAACTTCTAAACACAATCATACCTATTTACAATATATACATTCACCCAGGAATCTCCGAGCCAGGCTTTTCCCCCCACATGTGGAAGGCAAAGCAAGACTCCAGGAGATCCCAGTGCCACTTTTCCAGCCGCATCACTAGTAACATGCAAAACTAAGACCAGTGAAACTCTCACTTCTTGCTTTTGCCGATGACATTAATATTACTCCTTTCTTTTTTTTTTCTTTTTTTACACTTGTTACGCCCCTATATTTAAACAAAACTCTGATAACAGCTTATACCAAGCAAATAAAAAAAAAAACAGCATTTGGCTGAAACTTCATTTTGAACATGACACGGACAATAAAGGCATCAGTCATCGAAGCAATGATGTCCCGTTTGAATCACAGTTCAACTTTTATTAAGAAAGTTTTTAACATTTCGCCACGAGTATCTGTTCCCGATTGTAAATTATCAAGAAGTAGAAAAATAGCGACTCGGCGCCCGCCAGTCCCAACAACATGTTTACCGGACAGTTTCGAACTCTTGTCAGCCACCTCGCATCCATTTAGTCTCGAAAAATATCTCCATTCCAGCAAAACAAATCATCCCCCCTACCAAACAGATCACTTACCCTTTCTTAATTCTACTTCAAATGGGTGTGAACTTGTTGAACTTGAAGATCCTTACGCTACACATGGCTGGTCAATTTGGATATGGCAATAATTAAAAAGCTACTTAAATGTTTTCAATTATCTAAATTAAAAATTAATGATATATCTTCCAAAAGCATAAGTATGCAATATTTTTAAAATAAACTTTATATCATTAACAATCTTCTTGTCAGGGATGCCCAACCCCTCCAAGGTCGATGGCGCAAGAATCTACCCCCAATCCTCTCCTCCCAAGTTATTTTATTGTTCACCTTATCTTAAAAATAGAGCAAGCTAACGTAGAATTAGAAAAATTAGAGATCATATACAACTACACTTGCTGCGATCTGATCCATGTTTTGCTCTAGTCCGAAAATGCATAACCCCATCGAAATTTGCCCCCCTCAAAAACTTGCCAAAAAGGGCCCCCCTCAAAAATTTTGATGGCGCAACTTGCACTCCTCTCTTAATGAATTTAGATAAAAAAATTATTTTTTTATACTTTTTGATTATAATAAATCTGTTTACTAATAGTAACAAATTGCACACCAATTGAATTTTTTTTTTTTTTTGTCGAAAAAAGGAAATATTTTATATCTTCAATAAATAAACCGAATTATAAACGTATTCATGTACTATTGTGTATATATATACAATAGAATAGAAGAATGAACTTTATTCTGGGACAAAGTCCCTTAAGAATAACAATATTGATCGTAAAAATTAAGATTAAATCTAGCCAAAATACGTATTACAATTAAAGAATAACTAAATCATAAGTAATAAGAGAAGAAGTATTTAGATATCTGTACAAATATATTAAAGAAAAAAGATGAGCAATAAGGTCACTATAGTGCAAAATAGTTGCGAAAAACAATAAAATAAGAAATAACTAAATGAAATTGGAAAAGAACGATCACTTTTTTTGTCTGAAATGATGTATATATATATATATATATATATATATATATATATTATTAAAAAATAAAAAATAAAATAAGTGTCCTGGTTATCTGTATGAAATCAGACCATGATTTATAGTAACATTTTTATAGGTAATAAGGTCTGATACCACATATTATCAATTATATGAAATCATTTTCAATGTAAACTAGCAATATCAGGAAATTTCTCATTGATTAATATCGTATAAAATTCGATTGTCAATGACATTTTAGAACCATCAAAATAAAGAAACTTTTAATTATAATTTGGAACGGGTACTTCTGAATCACGCGGCCTCCTATTAACTGCTATCTGTATTTATCTTGTTATTTAAAGTTTTGTTGTTGTTATTTATATTTTTTATTATTAAATGTTTATAACCTGAACACTGATAACTGTTATAAGGCACTGCTTATCTCTATCTTCATATGAAATTAGACTCTCGTATAATAAGAAATATAAATATATTTGGTGTTGCCTCTTTTTTGCCTGTTTCTTATTAATATATATATATATATATATATATATATATATATATATTGATAAGAAATATAAATATAATAATAATACAGTAATTTAATAATAAGAAATATAATCAACAACAACAACACTTTAAATAACAAGATAACTGCAGATAGCAGTCGCTCACAATTATCTTTGAACGATCGAAAATGTTAAATAAACGAATTAAACTATAAAATGGTATCATCTACTAAGAAGAACTACAATTTTAAGGTTTAGGGCAATTTTTACTTAAAGTTTAAAAACAATGTTTATATAATCTCATAAATATCTCCGTGACCATTGATTTTATAAAAAAAAAAAAAAATGTATAGGATTCTTTTTAAAGATTTAAAGTGGTTTGGTATTATACTGAATTATATTATTCATACTTAATTCTGTGGACATTGTTAATGTTATGTTTGAATGCAGTACTAGACACAAGATCTAACATTGTTAATTATACCATTATATTTATTTGTACAGGAATTTCCTTAGACAAATAAAATAAACTATCTATCTATTATACTAAATCATCTTTGCAAAAAACCTCATAGTTTTTCAGATATTCTCAAAAAAACTAAAAAAATAACGGTTTTCTGTTCTCCCTCCTCATCCCCTCCTCCTCTCAATCAAAACACAACGCGGGATTCTTTGTGACTTTTTACCAGTTATCATGGGGAGGGTAATGAACAATTTCTGATATGTTTTGTATTTATTTTGTTAATGTTTGGGTCGTCACCTAGTTTCACTGGAGGCAAGCCTGAGATAATAGTTTTCTACCTTCGGTTCATGGTTAGAAGCAAGATGGGTCTCATTAGACTACTGGGTCTCACAGGGCATGGAAGTTTTCGAAAAAAGTTCTTTGCTCATGGGAAGATCACTAATCCCCTATGCTGAGGTTGGGGAATACCAGAGACCGCTGAACACATTATCATGGCCCGTACTGCCTATGAGACACCTAGAGCCAAACTGATAAAGGAAACAGCACTCTACGTAATAATGTAGGACAAGTCTCCCCTCTCCTCATTAGCAAAGAAAATTACCTTAATTTTTATTAATTATTTATTAATTATTAGAATTTTCGTTTGATTTTTTTTACTTAAGGAGTTACATCCCCAACACCCAAAAGCCACTGTTCTCTGTCCATCCAATCTCCTTCACGGATCTCTGGCTGCCATCCATTCCTGCACGTCTTCTATCCATTTCTTCTTTGATCTTTCATGCTTCCTTCTTTCAGGTGGCATATAGTTTTCTTTGGCCAGCGGTTCTTATCCATCCGCACTTTAGCCTTTTGGTCCCAATCAGGTGAAGAAACGTTTGACATCCGAGCTTGTCTCTAATAGCTGCGTTTTGGATCCGCTTAATTCTAGATATGCCACAGCTTCTTCTCCAGAAATCCATTTCCATGGAAAGTAACTTATTTCCCATTTTTTTTCCCCCATCAAATTTCTGATCCGTAGGTGGCTACGCTTTCTGCAAAGGAATGGTACATCTTCTTTTTAGTTTCAAATCTTATTTCTTTACTCCATAGGGTTGAATTTATCGAATTGTTAGGAGTTAAAAGGTGAAAATGTCAACTTCTAAGATTGAATAAAGGAGTGGAAGAATTTTGTATACCTTGACCATTTATCTTTGAGATGAACAAAAGAAGTCGTACCAGGGAGGCCGCCGTACAGAGGAGGGACAAAATAATACGATAGCCAAAATCATTGATAAAACGTACAGGCTGTGTGTACTGCATACGTTGTGAATGGCTTACTTGCAACAGTCGGTTTTTACTTAACATAAGTAACATGTCATTGCTTTATCCAAACGTATTGTCGTGTTGAATTACTCTACAAATGAAAATCGCTGATTCATGACTTAATCGATCATACAACACTAGTTCATGATCATATCTCACTTTAAAAATTATTTATAAGAAAGCAAGTTGAAGGTGGACGAATGAAATTTTTTTTCCGCGAGCAGAAGGGGTGAAGGTTGGTAGTGGGCTCAACTCTCCACATTGAATACATAATTCACTGGTTCTAATGAGAAGCGGTCGTTGGGTTGAAACAATCCTTAATTGCTACAGTTTCTATTCATTAACTCTTGAGTGCGTTGCTGTAAATTGCTTTGATATAGCATTCACTGTCAAGATACCTCGAGTGGCTACCTGATTTGTTTTTGGACATTCGATTATAATTCAATTTTTGGTTAAATCCAATAGTGTGTGACTGTAAGTTCCATTTACACCTTACACTTAACTTAAAAGCCCTAATTTTTTTTTTTAAATTGACAAGCTGGCCCAAAATATTGAACAATACCAAACACCCGAACAATACCCTTTTTTCAACTAACGTTTAGGGCATGATGTATAAACAATAGAATAGAATAGAAAATAATTTTATTCTGGGATGAAGTCCCTTTAGAATAACAAAAATGTACAAAATTAAAATATTATATCTGGCCAAATAAAAACAAACATAAAAAGTAAAAATAAAGATAAATAAGTAAAGAAAATATTAGTTGTACATACTATATACAAAATAAAATAAACAAAATCTATATACAAAACTCTTGAAACCATGCTAATACACTTAAAATTATGTAGATAGATAGATAGATAGAAAAAACAACTTTATTCTGGGACTAAGTCCCTTCAGAATAACAATAATGTACAAAATAATAGAATATTACTAGCCTGTACGTTTGAAACAATAAATAAAATTGATAAAATAAAATAAAAAGTAAAGAAAACCTTAGGTGAACAAGCTATATACAATAAAGATAAAACTATGTACAGAGCGTTTAAAATTATGAACAAAACAATTAAAACTAAGAACGAATCACTTAAACTATGAACAAAATTATATATAAGGGTTGAACAACATAAACATACACTTTGAGAAATGAAGGACGAAAAAGCGATACAGTGAGTTCATTTCATAAAATAAAATAAAAAAAAAATTTACTTGAATAAATATATAAAAATAAACAGTTACTTATAATTGAATAAAAAAAAAAATTATGTATTGAATTCCTACATCGATAGTAGGAAATGCATGTACTATCTCTAGTATCAAGTATTATGATTATATGATTGCTACACAAAACATATATAATATTAATAGTTAGCTGGTATCTAACTGTTTTTGGAACAGGAATTGGAATAGGAGGTTTTTGAATGTGTATAGGGAAGGGGCATGTCGAATTTTGATCGGGAGGGAATTCCAAAAGTTGACAGAGCGGGCTATAAAGGAATTTTGGAATGAGGCAGATCTATGAGAAGGGATGTATAGGTCAGAGGGTCGAGATCTTGTAGTGAGGGAATGGATTGAGGACTTAAATTGGAGAAGGTTGTAGGCATAAGAAGGACGATGATCGGTAATGATTTGATAAAGGAAAGTGCCTAGGAAATATTGTCTTCTTAAGGAGGGGAAGAGCCACCCTAACTCAGTGTAGTGGTGGGAGACACGGGAGCGTCTCGGGGTCCCAATTACAAATCTTACGAAGCTATTCATAAGTCTTTTGAGTCTATCACGGAGTTCCACCGAGAGGCCATCGTACACCACACAGCTGTAGTCAAAGTGGGGAAAGATGAGAGAGGAAACTAGGAGTCT